CCAGCCGAGTCAACCCAACCGACTCAACCCAATCGAGTTATCTCAAAGTTGGTTGTTCCATGCGAGTATGCGGGGAGTACTCTAGATGTATGCTCAACATACGCAAGCCTCGCATTGATTGATTACAGGGGAGCTGACCGAGTACGCGGGGGGTACTCCCTTCTATGCGGGGAGAAACCTCGCAACTCCATTTTCTTTATTAAGTGCTTAATGGCTTCATCACTTAAGCTCCTACTTTAGATCCAAGGTCCAGAGGCATACTAGAGTCATAAAGTTTCCAACTTTATGACTCTACACATCCATAAAGTCCTTAACACAAGGTCTTAATCCATTAAGACCATTCTACAAGATGCATTGAGCCAAACTAGCTAAAGGGGCCTCATTTTTATGGCTTAGAGCCCTTCCTAGGGTCTGAAATGATAACCTAAAACGTCTAAAACCAAACATGCATAAAAATGGGACTTTTGAGACAAGAATAACCACAAAAAGCTACCAAAATGAGATCTAAGCAAACAAAGCATCAAGGTGAAGACTTTTAACCTTTTGGAGCTTCCCAAGAAGTTGATTATCCAAGATCGACAAGCTTGCTCCAACTTCTAAGCTCCTTGATGCAAATCCTTCCTCCTCAAAAAAGCACACACTTGAGCTCTAAAATGCACACTCAAAGATTAGGGTTTGCAAAAACGTCCCAAGGGGGTGGAGGCTGAAAGGTGGAAAGGAAATGAGCTAATATGATGCTTAAATACCCCTCAAATCCTAAAATTTAGGGTTTCCTCCTGACATGAGTACACCCAGCGTATGTGAGTGTACGCCCAGCGTACACACATGTACGCCTAGCATACTCCTCCTGCCCATATTACAAAAATGCCACTAGGGCTTTAGGGCTACTTCTTTCCAATCCAATGACCAAAATGACATAATTTAAAACCAAGGGATGAATTTGAGAATACCTGAAAGTTGGGGTTTTACCACAAAAATATTTAAAAAGTATAAAAATTTTCACATATAAAAAGTATTTGTGTACTTACTTCAATCTCGGGATACATAGCTTCATATTAATGGAAAGGAACACGCCTCCAAATCCTATAATGGAGTGGTAAATGATCTGCCACATAATTTGAGATAAACCTTTTCAACATTTTGCCATTTTCATTTATGAATTTATAGGTCTTCCCATCGCTATCAACTTCCACGGGTAAAGGTTCATTACCGCCGCCCTTGAACGTTTTTCGCATATTTAAGCATCTTCCCTTTCCACGCCGACGCGTCGGGTTTGCTACATTGACACATAGAATTTAAAATTTAGAAATTTAAAAATTTCAATATATATCCAATATATTTAAGAATTTCATGCAGCTTACAAGATTGACAACCCACCGGTATCTTGCCTGCACCCTCGTGTGGAGGTCGATCCCTGTCGTCTCCTCCATGCCCCCTCGCAACATATGTAGCCATCTGTTTAACAAATATTAGAAAATATACTAAACATAATTTAAAAAAAAAACTAACAAACAATTTTAAGCAATCAAAATGTATAACAATCATAACATACCATCAATCATAATCATCACTAGAACAATATATGTGTACAACATCATCATTAATGAATTCGTCATCATTTATGAAATCGTCATCATATCTGAAGAGTACATATCACCACCATCATTGTCATCATTGATGATACTATCATACTTTATAGTAGGAGTTGCACTTGATTCACCATCGTCATCATTATCTAAAGAGTACATATCATCACCGTTGTAACATCCTGGCATGAGGTATTTCCAAAATTCATTCTTAAGTATGAAGGTTTTTGATTTTTTAGCCCTTGGGTTTGAGGATGCTTGCAAAATGGCCCATAGTGGCATTTCGGTAATTTTGGCCAAGAGAGTAGACGTTGTGTACGCTAGGCGTACTGGGGCGGAGCCTAGTACACTGGGCGTACACCGTGTACGTCGAACATATGTGGTAAAAGCTCAAACCCTAATTTTTAGGGTTTGGTCCATATATAAGCATCATTAACTCCTAATTCCTCATTCCCTCTCCAACCTCCAACCTCATTTCATCCTTTGCAACCATTACTCTTGTGTGATCCTTTAAGCTCAAAAGTGTGTGTTTGTGGTGCCTTTGAAGCAAGGTGAAGAAAGAAGCATCATCTTGGAAGATCAAGACCTTCTAGATCTAGGAACACTTCACCTTCGAAATCTATTTGAGGTATAAAGTTATGAACTTGATGATTCTATGCCTAGATCTAAGTTAGCCATGGAGTTTGTGTCCTTTTGGTCCCATTATTTGGGTATTTTGAGTATGAGCTATTCTAGTCCATTTGAGCTGTCCTATCAGTCACTTTAAGGTATTTAGGAGCATAAAAAGGTAGTATTGATCATATCTTTCCTTCCATGCATGTGTTTTGAGGTCTTAATGGGTAAAGTGGTTCAGGTTTTCGATGTTAAGACCTTATTGGCCATGCAACACCATAAAGTTGGAAACTTTATGGTCAAAAACATTATTTGGAACTTGGATCTGACTTTGGACATGAAACTTTGGTGTATTAAGCTCTTAATAGGGAAAGGGTTGACCAGGCACGTACGATGGGCGTACCAAGTGGTATGTTGTGCGTACGCGGTCAGAGCCTTGTCGCCTGGTCAACCAGCTAGTACACCCCACGTACAGAGGAGTACGCCCAACGTACTCGTCTGGGTTGACTCGGCTTTTGATCATTAACCAAGGTTGACCAAGGGTATTTTGGGAAGTGTTATTAATATAGAATAGGAAATGTTCTGATTTCTAGGAGTCGAGTGGTGCCGGTTGTCGGAGCAGAGATTCATTCAGACTGTGTTCAGATTGAGAGGTGAGTTTTCCTCACTGTACTTACGGGTTGATGGAACTAAGGTCAACCCATAGGATAGATATCCTGGTTTACCGTATGTTGTTATATTGTAGTGATCTATTAGATCTGTATCTTGGTATATAGGATGTTGCTATGCGATAGTGATATGTTAGATATGTATGACTACCTGTATCTGCTAGCTATTGCTTGTTATGGTGTACGTTGATAAGTGATGGTACATTGGGTTGAGGCGGACCAGCTGAGGCTGAAGGCCAAGACACCCAGGGCAGTCCGGGAAGACTGAAGGTTTGCGAGGCGGATCAGTCAGGCCGAAGGCCTAGAGAGTGGTTGAGATCGGCTGAAGGCCCGGTGAGGCGGTCCAATCATGCTGAAGGCTCTGTATGCATGCTGTTGTTTGTTATGTTTACGCGGTGGTACTTTGGGGTAACTCACTAAGCGTTGACTTATAATTTTAGTTTTGTTTTAGGTACTTTTGAGGACCGTGGCAAGGCGAAGGGGTGACCGTACACATCCCTTGTTTTATGTTGTTGATCTTGGGAGACTCTGATTCTGATTAATGTTTTTGGAAATAATGGTTATGTAAACACTTATTTTTAGTAAATGTGTTGTTCTAAAAAGTTTAAATTTGTTGTGATTTTTGAGATGTTACAGCCGTCAACTGAGTACATATCATCATCATCATCACCTAAGTCGACAACCAAGGAAAAATCATTTGATCGAGTGTCATTCACCACATCTATCTCATTAACACTGATACTTGGATGATCCTAAAGTTTTCGATGATGAACATCTTCCACAACTCTCCAGTTATTGTTTCGAGTAGGATATTGGAGATACAACACTTGTTTAGCTTGAGTGGATAAGATTTATTGTTGATCGTCATACCATGTTTGATCAACATACCATTCATGATTGATATCGATAACAATCATATTCCTTTTACTAATTAAATTTCCATTACTAAATGACTCATTGAACCATTTACCATGAAAGAGTACAACTGAGTAACCATGTAAATATTGCAAATCTATGATGTCCTCCAGTTGACCATAGAATGGTGTATCGTCTACTCCTAATGTAAGAATACCACTATTTTGAGTAGTGCGTTGGAGATCACGGCTAAGCACAACAAATTGAACACCATTTACTATACAGGTAGTGTAAGTAGTTGCATCCAACGGACCATGTGCCAACGCCTTTAATTCGTTAGTACAGTCCGAAGGCGATTCTCTTTTGAGATGATAAATCTATAAGGAAATATAATATTGTACGTTTAAGTAATAATATAAATTAATTTTCTATTATAAATTAGAATATGAGGCATTTACTTTTCTTTTGAACCAGGGAGGAAATTCTGTTTTTAAATCACTTTCAGGCGATTCTGATTCGAATTCGCTGGATGTGTGACAAAACAATTAGAATAGTTTGAAGATATCATAACACTATCGAAAAGTAGTTAATAGATCACAAAACTTATGATATGTAGCTTTCACTACTAGAAAAACAGCCTTTTACGACGCGTAATGTGTGTCGTAAAACGCTCAGACGACGCGCAAATGCGTGTCAAGGAAGGCCCTGTTATAACGAGAGACGACACGCTTTTGTGTGTCATCTATTTACGACGTGCATTTACGACACACATTTACGATGCGCAATTACAACATGAAATGCGTATCAAGGAAGGCCCTGTCATAAAGGAAGACGACACACATTTGCGTGTCGTAACCTTACGACACACGTTTAGGACACACATTTCGTATCATTAAAGCCCATGCCATAAATGAAGATGACACGCATTTGCGTGTCATAAACTTCAGCAACCATTTACGAAGTTTATTTCACTAATATGTCAAATACGAATAATTATTCCAATAATACAAAATAAAATACCATAAATAACAAAGATAATTCATTTCACTAATATGTCAAATACAAATAATTATTCCAATATTGAGTAAATGTAATAAAAAAATGAACTCAAGAGAATAAGAATTTATATATAGTTGCATTATCTAGCTTACTATGTGCCAATAACTCTCTGTGTTTGCTTGCTTGATTCTCGTTTCCTCCAAAGCTTCTAGCCATGCCAAAGTATGATATATTAGGGTTTATGTCCAAATCAAGTAAAACATTGCTAGCTTTAAGATCTCTATGGATGATTCTGAAACTTAAGACTAGGTAAAATCTGCTTGCAACCTTTAGGTGCGATAAGAAACTTTGAAACCCTAGCTAAGTTCTTGTAGAATTTAGCAGCCAATCTCACTACATGTTCACCTTGAAGATCTGTACATTTAGAGTGTATCATACTATCACTAAAACAGTAAAAAGTTTACATTTTTACAGAATTTAAGAAAGTAGATAAAGATTTAGTAATTTAATTTACCCTTGAGATTCATCACCACAAAAGAAGATAACAGTTCCATGACAGCTTCATCCCTATGGTACAGAGTCTCTTCTAATGTCAAATGTGACTTGTGTATCCCATCATCATCATCATCATCATCATCATCATCATCATCATCATCATCATCATCGTCATCATCATCTACCACTATCCCTTTATAAGCACTAGTGAAACATGTTTTCATCTTCATACTGATTCGATCCATGTCAGCAAGAATTGATTCAAGAAACTGTAAGATCACTGATGATACAACAGTTTCTGTTGAATTGTTTATGACTATGTATGTTTCTGATCCTATTGTTTTTATCAAATCCAGTGCCATATCTTGAGCAACAGCCAAATCATTTGGAGCTTGAGTACCTGATAGTGCTAGATTCACTACACTTTTTGTAATCTTTGTGTTTGCTATATTACTACTTTCACAAATTCTTATTGCCCAATCACCGACATGTTTACACCCAATAATCTTTGCAATATCACACATCACCTGATAACATAACAGTATTATTCAGAAAAACACAACTAATTTGAATGAGGTAATCAGAAAAACATTATGGATATATTGTAAAAAAATTATATATTTTTATGAATTACCTGACTAGATAAAACTTGGTGATGATGATCAATGAGGCACACAACGATCATTAGATCTAATTTAAATGTCAAGCTCTTTCACATTAAAATCGTTCAGATCATAACTACACACAGCTCCATCCCAATTAGAAAGCCTTATGCATGTCAAATATCTCATGCTCATCATCCCAGAGAAAAGTCAACTGATGCATCTTTCCCTTCATTATCAGTGACTTCAGGCATGATGACAGATGGCTTACGATTTGGCCTACCTAGACGTTTTTTAGTGGACCCAACCACATTTTTGACACTTGTGTTGACTTGTTTTTCAAATCCCATATCATCTACAAGATTAATCCAATCAGCTGAAAAAGTAATGTTGTGTGTGTTCTTCTCAAACTACATAGAAAATAATAACATTATATGATTTATATCCATGAACGAAATGATATAAATGTCATAAAATCAACGATAATAATAGACAAAGTACTCACTTCAAGCAAGGCCAGCTTCCTAAAACAATTAACAAGTGTAATGTTGACTTGTTGTTAGAATCCCACTCATATCTTGGTCCAATCTCTCTACAAAAGAAAATTGATTCAATCTCTCTAAAAATCATACACAAAAAACTAGCTGCTATTTGGTATATAATATATAAATTACCAAGACAAACAGGAGACGAGGGTTGCTCTGTATTTGCAGGGGAAGTCTGTGTGTGTTCAATTGAGCTTGTGTATTGCACATCAACAGTGAAAAGCACACAATATATTTCTATTTTATTGTTTGACCGGAATATAAATAATTTGTGAATTACCAACAATATGTTTATGACTGGTCAAAATTGGAGGTATAAGGAAAAAGCAAAAAATTGATCTCATCTAAGTTTGACATGCAAGAATTAGAACCAAAAACTATCTTGGGAATCTCATGCAATCACTAGTCTATTTAAGATATACTTATATAACCTTATAGCCCGGAGTGAAGCACGATTGACCACCATGGCATGGAACATCGATCACATCATGAAAAAAATATAAGATGTGAAAAAATCTAAAAAAAGCACCAGGTCATGATATTAGCATTTTTTTCAAACATTAGTTATCCATTCCAGAAATTGCTAAAATTTATCGTGGCACATAGATTAAAAAGTTTTTATTTGGCTATGTTTGAGAATAGTATTCAATAATAAGGTATTAGCAAAAAATCGATCAAACACTTAAAACACAAATATACCTATATTGCCATCCTATTAGTCTTCAAACACTAACATATTTCAGTATGTTGTTTAGCTCCTGAAGAAACACAAATAAACTATAAAATGGTATTTATTAGTAATTCATTCCAAAGCAATAATATACACCTGATGGAAAAAGATGTGCAATTACAGGACCTACAAAAAATATAATTAAAGGAATCAAATAAACTACATGACATTATAATTTTTGTGTCACCTTCAAAGTTAAAACCTATAACTTTTAATCAAGCAATATTTTCAAGCTATCTAAAATTAATTTACATGTGATTTTCAATAATATAGTCACAAATTTGCTAGGTATTAGATTATACAGTCACATAAACTAAACCTCAATATCATTTAGACTTAGATTGGCAGATGTAAGTTTTTTTTTTGAAAATTAATTATTTATAGAATATTTGGTTCAGTCCAGATAGCCACATATCTAAATACCGAAACCGAAACCGACCCGTAGGTACCCGATTTTTTTGATTTTTTTTTTTTGCATCATTTAAGTACTGGGATTGGTTCACATGGTCATGTGGATGCACCAACTTATTTTCAATCACCTATTACAACATTTTTTCAACAGATGATGATTCATGATCAATTAATCAAAAGAGTAAACAACCTATATCTTATAATTACCTCATTGCCTTTACATTGCTTTGTTTGCCATTTAACCAATGAAAAGTGTTTATTTAACTTCCTATTGACCACTTCTAGATGGCATAATTTCTAACCAAAGTAACAAATTCAACAGAAATCAGATAAAACATCATTGGTGATTGTGATCAGAGACATGCCTTTCATTGAATTTGCTCCTTTGTTGCTTTGTAACTAAATGTTTCAAATTACTCCATCTTCAACCTCATAGAAATCCTTCCAAAGCCAATATGTTATATTATTAGGAATATGTGATTATGTAAAAGAATGGGTTTTAGATTTTACCTTTATTCAAATGCAAAAGGATCATCCACTAAATGGATTCAGTGATCCTTCCAAGAGAAGAACGATTGGCAGGATTTTAGAGACTCAAAGATTATAGATCCTAATCACCTGGTTACTTTTGGCATCCGTATCAGCAATAGGAGGCGGGGTGGTTTCAGTGTCAATCATAACATAATCACCCAAATTAAAAGTTATTATCACCATTAAAAATTTAAACTTGTATATAAATAAATAAACTACAACATTTATTTATTTACCTTTGCAATTCTTCTCGAACATCTTTGAACTTTTCCTTAGTCTCCTTAGTCTCCTTATGATTCTTCTTCTCTTCTTCCAGGTCATTATCAAACATTATAATTCCATATTTAGGAAAAAATTTTGCTTGAATTTAGGTTGGTGTTCTTATATGAATCACAAGTTTTTCATGCCACTCATCTGTACTATGTACTCAGGTATTGAACATGTAAGCAAGCAATTTCTTAAATGCCTGTAGCAAAATTAATTAATTAAAAAAATAATTTCAAGTTTCTATATGAAGTTAATAAGTAAAATTCTCCCCCTTTCTATAACACAGCCATGAAATCAACTTACAGTCTAACCATCCGTGTCATATTTTGTAGATTGAGAAAGTTTGTACTTGGTCCGGTCAAATCAGTTATCCTCCTGAAAACCAAAATGCAAAATTAAAGTAAGTTTCATTAGTGGATGAAAAATTAGTTAAATTTTTTGACACAAAGTCGGCTCACAATTCTTGTAAGTTTGTCAACAGAGATATTGTAGAAGGAATATGTCCCTTCATCGATGTTCCTTGCCAATCACTGCATGTTAAATGATTTTATTAAAATGAAAAACCAGAAATATTTGGAAAATGGAAAAGATTTATAAAACTAGGAACAAGTAAAGCAAGATAATATACTCACAGTCTTATGAGCCTTGTCCAGTTTCCAATAGGATCAGGGAGAGAGAGATGTGTACGAAGACCATCAATTAAAGAAGAAATACAATTTACAATTCAGTAATGGGAATAAAAAAAGGTAGAATGCTATAACAATTAACAAAACTAATCAATGAATGTTTGTTGGTATTTCTTGAAGTGGCCCTAATTTTCTTACACACTCTTCATATTATCAACAATAGTAAAAAAATAAAACTTATTACCTGTTTGGGATTGGAGTTGTAAAAGCTAGAACAGAAGGAAGATGATGTAGAACACCAACCATTTTCCCTAGCATGCAACCCGTCTTCCAATCCAGTCTGCATAATAACATAATTTAATATTTCTTGTGATACAAACACAATTACTTTTCATGTTTGTTTAATCAATCACAATCACAATCCCTGGTAGTGTTATCAGGCTAACAGGTAAGTATGTATTCAGGAGTTTGAGGTTAAACTCAGACACAATTGTTATATGCTCAGTATGTCTTTTTTGTGATTATCTTACAATGTAATAAACTCAAGTCATGCATGAATCAAAATTGTAATCAAAGAACCAAAATGACACACATCAAGTTTCTAGATGGAAAATGATTATCATAACTATGTTATTTATATACTTTATGTTGAGGTCCTTGTATGAGAATATATCTTAAGGGGATTTTTTTTCAACTGATGATATAGAAATTCCAAAGTATGTATTTCTAGAAATATTCTAATCTTACACTTGTGAGTGATTTTTGTGTATAGCTTAGTATTTTACATTACTGCATGTTCACATTAGACGAAGCTTCATCAGATGCTTCCGTTGCAGACTCATGTTCCTTGGCAAGCAAACTGTCTTCCAGTTCAGTCTGCATGATAAGCTTAGTTTTATATTTCTGATGATACCAATACAATGTCTTTTCATATTTCTTGAAACAATCAAAATTACAATCCACACTAGCAGTAAGATCCTGAGAGTTACTATCTAATCAGGTATACTAGATTAAGCTCAAATGTCAGAGCAAACTAATTTTATGCATCTACATTTCCAAAATAACCATGTGATAAACTAAGCTGCTGATGACCATAAAAATGACCTCTTGTCTGACCACATCAAGTGTTCAAACTTTATAAGTCATGTAACACATACAAACCAAGAGAGGTTAAGGATAGGAAAGAAAATGTATATTAAAGAACTTTATAGGATTGAAAATCTCCAACCATTTTGATGATCCTGCTGGTTCCCACACAGCTATCCCACCGTTTTTTCTCTATATCATTGTCAAGATCAAATTATTTTATTATTAAATGCTTTTCCTTAATCTAAAGTCAAGGCTTCAATATTTCCTTTTGATCTCAATAACATATACACAAAATCTGCTCAGCCTCAAATGAAAGGAAAACACAAAAAGGAAATGGGGAACAATGCATAAGCCCATAGAAAATGAAAGCCTAAATGCAAGAAAAAAGACTTACTAAAGATAAATTATACCCTACAGGGTAAGAAACAGATAGATTAAGAACCAAAAGATGCTTTTAGTGAGTCTAACAACACTTGTACATATTTGTTTTTAAGGTAGAAGGTGATGAAGGGTGTTAATGGAATAACACAAATTGATTACTGCCTAGAAATTAGCATATACATACTAGACTATGCTCAAGCTAACTGATTACTGTCTAGAAATTAACATATACATATATAAAATCAAAAACGAAAATCAAATAAATTGTGAAGGGATCGAAGAATTACCAAAATAGGGTGCTCTTGGTTAATGATGGAATTACTATGGTCGAAGGAAGGGACAACGATGGCTGGTAGGATTTCGGTGACAAGTGAAGAGGTTCTGATGGTGGTTATTTATGCAGTAATTCTCTCAAATCAAGGAGACTGTTTCAGTGACAGAGATTTTAAACAAAGAAAATTAGGGTTTGTTTATCTTCAATGAAAGGGAAAGAGGAGGATGTT